CCTCCTCAGTTTTCTAATGAGTCACTTGATTCAGGTGTGTTGGAACAAGGACACATCTGAAGGTTTCAGGACTGAATTTTGAGACATTTGGTCTAAAAGCTGAGACCCCAACATGCCAGTGTCTCCAGCAGTGACCCAGCTGTGAACTACAGATGTTTTTACTGTCCTTTTCGTCCTCCTGTCTCTCTGGCGTCCAGATTCCTCGTCCAGTTTGGTTGTAAAAGTTCCAGTTAAACCAGTTGTGTCCACAGTTCAAGTTTATTTCTACTTTAACAGAAATGTTAAGTAACAGACAACAAATTGTTCTTTTACTAGCCTTTAGTAAGTCATGACCTTTCACCCAGAAACACTTGGACCCGTCTGTTACAGTCGGATAAACGCATCAAAGCTTTGGGAGAAAATTCTCATATTTGCTGCTGGATATGAACAGAAAAAAATTATAGATCAACAAAATGGAAAATAATTGCCCATAAAAAGTGAAATAACTGTAAACATTAAACTAAGCATTATACTAATGTCCTTTTTATGAAAATATAACTTGTTTAATTTATTGTGGTGCCAGTAGGGATGAAGAATTCACCATAATATTTTAAATGGAGAGAAAAAGCAAATTTTGGAAACAGGGATTATTTTAGGATTATTTTTGGCCTTTGCAAAATCTTTGACTCTGCTCACTTAAACAGTTTTATTCCTGCCACTGGCTCCTTTATTAGGAATTTCTTATAATTTTCTGACTTTATTCTTGTATTTTTTGTCTAATACTTCATTGTAAAGATTTTCCATGTTTCTGACTGTTAGGATAGATAAATATGTGAGTTCAGGCAGGAAATCTGTGTGAATGAGGTGGATCTGCTTCTCTAACGAGTGTTTTCTTGTCAGAAGAGCATCTCCAGACGGGCAGAGTTTCCGTTCGCTGGGAGAGGAGATTCCTGCTGATATCAGGAAGAAACCAAAGTCATCCAAACACGGACACGACTCCGATGACGACTACGAGAACGTAAGCAACCTGCAGATAAAACTGAGCAGCTTTTGGGCCTTTAGTCTCAGTTTTGTGACAATTTTTATATATTTTTATGTATTTTTTATTAAAGTGTTGTTTCTATATGCAGGTGCAGCTGCCAGAGTCGGTTTTCATCGATTCAACTGAAACCACCTTTGTAGAAAAGTACGACACGTTTAAATACTTTACACATTAAAAACGCTTTTAAACCGAAACCTACCGACACTTTTCTGAACTTTTACTGCCCCCTGGTGGCAAAACCCAACATTTCTCCTCTTATTTCTTCAGTTATTTTTATTTTTCTCAGCTTTTGACACTTGTACAACCTTGTAGATGTTTTCATTCTGCATTTAGTCTCTTAATAATAATAAAAACCATGTGTCGATGTTTTCCTCTACAGGCTTTTTAAAGAGTGCTGTGCTAATCCGCCGGACGGACTCTACGGCATCAGAAAATCAGGAACCAAAACCGCAAAGGTAAAATAAATAAAACACCAAGCATCTTTTAAAATCTACTTAATTTAATTTTATATTGTGTTTTCTTTAAGTACAGAAATCCTAATATCAGACCACACATGGTTTACTCTTTGTTTAGTTTTTCTCATTTTTCAGTGTTTTAAAATTATTTGTCAAGATTTCAAGATGCATTTCTCAAATATTGATTCAAGTAAAGCCTGGATATTAAATAACATGACAAAAATATGTTTTATATCTAAGTTAGTGATCTTAATTAATATTTTTAAGATGATTTCATGTGAAGGTTTTTGTCTTTTTCTCATTTTTACATGATAAATGCTTCACTTTGAGGCTGATTTGGGGAGAGAACATCTTTTCTGAAGGTGTTGAAAGTTTTTTTTAAAGACCTCATTTGATAGTTTAATGCCTTATCTTATAACAAAAAGTGAAGATTGAAGGTTTAAGTAGCCAGAAGTGAAATAAAATCAGAAAATGCCTGATTAGAGTATATTTTTAATGTTTTTCAGGTGCTGGTGGTTTGGGATGTCGCTATAAACAAGGCCAGAAACTACAGGCTGTTTGAAGAGGTAAGGAACCCAGCAGCGCCCCCTGCTGTGTTATAATGACTCTATGTTTGAAATAACTCGTCAACATCTCGTTTTTGTCTGCTGACAGAATGACAGCATATTTCTGGAGAGCGACCTGACCTTCCCCAACCTGGCGGCGCTGGTTGAACACTACTACAGCCATCCTCTTCCTCACCACGGCTCGCTGTGCCTGCAGAAGCCTTACGCCAAAGTCCTGAGCTCCTGAGACCAAACATGCAGCTGGAGACGCGTCTTCAAACGGATTCAAAACAAACTGAGCTCAAAATCACCCAGAAGAGGAGGAAAAACCGGCTGGAAATCAGAACAGTTTGATGGTTGTGACGCATTTTGGCCACTAGGAGGCGACAAATGACAACATAAAGCAACAGATTCCGGAAATACAGCCTACATGCATAAACATATCACTCAATATAACTATAAATATTTATTTCTGTATCATTTTTCTAAGTAATTTCAGAAGTTAAAGCCTATGATGAGTATTTCTGTGTAAATATGGCTGCGTCACATGAAACATAATGACTTTAAACAAGCCAAACGGACAAAATTAAAAGCTAAAAGTCGGATCCTGAACCTTCCCTGACACAAGAGAACAGGAGCTTACAACTTACATTTCAGTTGGAAATACAGGGAAAACATCAACAGAGGAGGGAAACCTCGTTTTCAAATTAGCAGTGCGACCAAACTGGGACTGATTGTCTGTTTTTGTGTTTTTTGTCAAAACGAGCTTTTTAAAATGTGTACATTCATTATACTGTGTAGCTTTTGTCCATATTTATATGTAAATATGTAAAAGCATGACTGTAAATATGTAAATGTGAAGTTTTTTTACAAAAATATATACTGAGAATGTATAAACAATTGCATAAAAAATTGTTTTTTATCTTTATTTTGTGCATCTGCATACAGAAACTTCAGAATTTGGTATTTTTGGATGATAAAGTTGAGCAACACAAGACAACACACTAAAAAAGTTAAAAGTTATAATAAGTCAGTCAAATGTGTTAAATATCTGAAAAGATTTGTTTGACTTTAGTTTTATGTCATCAAAGAAAGAGTTTTCTAGACATGTAGGGTGTGAAAATTCATATCAACAGAATTTCATAAAAGTTATACCCATATCCTGATGCTGCCACCACCGTACTTCACCTTAGAGATGCTACAATGATGAGCAGCATCTGGTGTTGAATAATTATTCTTAATTGTTTGAATCTTTTTGAATACAACAAACTTAGGATTTACCTAAATTTCACAAAATCAGAGTTTTTATTATAAAAAATTTTTTGTTTCTTTGACTTGATGATTTTGGTTTAGGTGGCAAAAGTTTTGGACCTCATTGGTATAAATTACCATTTATTAAATGATATACCATAAAAAGATTAATTAGAAATCTTAGTAAAAGTTTGTGTTTTTACAGTGTGTTTGGTATTAAAGAAGTAAAATACGAACTAAGAGAGAAATAAATGCTTTGAAAACAACAAATATAAGAAAATCAAAGACGTTGCAGGCGTAGTAAGCCTGGTTTATGCTTTTACGTTTGAAGTTAATCTGGTTTTTTACATTCATTTGTTGAATGTTAACGCCTACCAACAAACAAAAACAGTCAATAAACCAAAGAATAAAATAAACTAAATGTGTGAATCTTTCCATTCTGTGTAAACATTAGTTTTCCCTCCACTGCTGATCCAACCAGAGGAAGTGAAATCTGCTTTTTAAATTAAAGGCATGTGAAAACGCTTCCTGGATCCAGATTATTAGTCGGTTTATGAGGTTTGTGTGTTTTTGAGGGAAGTAAAAGGGAATCTGGGACGGAGCGAGCCTCGGGGTGCATCAGCAGCCGTCAGGCCTCAGTGAAGATGAAGTTTAATCCTCTGATAAAAAGCGTGAGAGTGTGTGGAAGCTGGCAGCTCAGAGCCCTGAGGACACACCGCAGGCTCGCTGATCAAACCGCAGGCAAACAGCTTCAGACACACAGCAGAGGGAAACGGCAACAGTCGGGTTCGGTTCAAAGATTCTGTCACTCCGTTTGAGAAATTTGATCAAATGACTGAGAAAAACATGAGAAAAATACACAATATTACAATATTTTCTTCATTTTTTTCTGATTTAAGGTGATAAAATAAACCAACTGTATCTTTTCTTACTGAAATAAGCTCCAAAAATAATTTGAAACATTAATCAACTTGCAGTTGATAAAAATGCAATAGCTTAAGAGAAGAAATTTAGAAGAAAACAAAGTTATAATTGAAGGCAATTATCAGGTAATTACAGTAAGTGGCCACAGAGGGCGCTGTTCAGCAGAATGTAGAGTTTCAATCAGTTAAAACCCATTTGAAATAAAAATCACTGAAGCTTCTACTCAACTTTATTGAATTAATCAGTTAATTATGGACCTTTTAATTACAAATAAATTAGCATTTTAGTTATTTAACTCATCATAAGAGAAAAGAAATGGGAGTTCATATTTTCACCATGTTATTCATTAATTTACAAAAGTCACAGTTTCGGGGTAAATATTTAGTTTGAAGCTAAATAATTAGCTTCAGACTAAAAACTTAGAAGCAAAACATTTATTTAGCTAAGCTTTTTTTAAGCATCACTAATATTTAGCCAGCAAGTTAAATATTTAATTAGAAGATAAATATTGATCTAACATAGAACTACATTTAGTAAACATTAAGTTAATATTAAGCTTAAGAAGCTATATATTTAGTTTGAAGCTAAATAATCATTAGTTTTAAAATATATGGCTGTCTAGCCAAATATTTCGCTAAATGTTTAGCTTAAATCTAAATATTTAACTCAGAGCTTTGAATATTTAGCTACATGTTTTAATCTGTTAGCTTAAAGCTAGATATTTAGTTTGGAGCTAAATAGTTAGCTTGCACACAAAATACTTAGGTTGGAGTTAAATATTTACTTTATAAACTAAATATTTATAAATATTTGCTAACAAAATATAGCTTCAGACTAAATATTTAGCTTGCTAATTAAATATTATAATTAGTCGCGTGACGTGTAAATTAATGGATAGCATGGTGAAAATATTACTTTGAAAAATGAATCCCCATTTTATTCTCAGTTAAATAATCCAAATTATTACTGTTAATTTTGACAGTGTTACAAACGGTACTCCATAGGAGTGTTAATTAGTGTAATTGAACCAGTTTTTTTTCTTAAAAAGCTTATTGTTTACTTGTTATATATAATTATGTAAAAAGTGTGGTTCTTTTTAATGTTCTGTTTGACATTAAAAAGTCAGATTTCCTAAATTGGATCAAGCTGGTTGTGATTTCTGCGGTATTAATTAATTAATTAATTTGTTCGGGTAGTGAAGGGTTAACAATCTGCAGCAGACGCACTGAAGGAGGAGAACCCCCTCCACGGCTCTGTGCAGCCCTGATAACCACCCGGTACCGGTCCGGTACCGCTAACCGCTTAAAAAAATGGATTTTAAACGGACTGGGCGGAACTGGAATCATCCCGGAACGCTATAAAAGGGCGCGTGGGCTCTACGGTTGTTGTGTTTTTCTCCATTCGTCTTCTCCCGGTGCGCACGCAGTCCTCCTCAGCCGCGCGTGCCACCTCCGGACTATAAAAGCTGCCCGCTCCGCTCCACAGCACCTGCTTGTGCTCGCGCCTGTTTTGGATGTGTGTTTTCAGCCAGCGCGTGGACCGACCGGCAGAACCATAAGGAAAAGCAGGAGCAGGCCAGCGCGAGCCAGGAGAAGGCAGGCAGCTCGCGGGCGCCCAGCTCAGCTAGCAGCAGCGACCGAACGGTGACTCCTCCGAACCAGAGATGGTCACGTCCGCACCACGGATCCCCCTCCTGCTGCTGCTGCTAATGTGGCTCCAGCACTGCGGTACCGTCCACGGTAAGAGCCCGCTGCGGTTCCCCGGTTTGTCCGGTTAAACGCTCCGGTGTTCGGGGCGGTTAAGCTAACATTAACCGAGCTGTACACCTGCCTCAGGGCTGCACCTTCATTCACTTGTTAGCCGTCTAATTAGCAAACAAACCACATTCTTCGACCTTAGTCGGTCAGCATTTGTAAGTTTATTTCATTTCTAATGAATTCTCACTCTGGTTTAAAGAGAATAATCGCCAAAAACAAAGATTTAAACCCTTAATTTGGTTGCTCCGCACCTAAACCTCTTTGCGTCAGTGTCTTGTGATTTCTCCTCGGCCATCATCACCAACCCCCTCAGCTCTGTGACGTTCCTTATTTATTCTTTAAGTGAAAGCCGACATGGGGGCCGAGAAAGGAGCGAAATGCGGATTAACATCTTGGATTAAAACTGGGAATAGTTTGGAGCTCCGGAGGGGAGGGGGGTGATTTAGGCCAATCACCGGCCGCAGGGGATCCCAATGACGGCTAATTACCTGCTGAGTGGCCAGGTGCAGGTTGGACATAAACGAGCAAAACTTCTCATTTAAGCCAGAAAATCGGGTAAAACATTTAATATAGACTCGAACCAATATAGTGTTAATATAGCTATTAAATTATGATTTTATATGAATAATCTCCCACAGTTGTCAGGAAACTGGAGATGTAATGGATGTTTTTAATTAAAATGTTTGAATTTTGCCTCCAAATGGGGAGTTGGTTTCATTTTTATTGTTGCTGTAAAGATTTTTTCATATAAATATTTCTGTAGTTTTATATTCAAATAGTTTTATTTGGCAGACTTTCTGTTAAGACATTAAGATTTGTACTTGGATTTTGACTAGTATTCTGTTAGGTTTTGTATATTGTCAAGTTTTCTTTAAAATAACTTATTAGGCAGGTTATATAGAGTAGATTTTTGTCTCCCCTGAGATTTTCTTTCTGTAAATTTTATTTATTATGCTGGCTTTATACATTTATCTCAAGCTTTTCTTTTTCTTGGTGTATTTTTAGAATTTTTTTTTCATATTTTCTAAAATGTTAGGAATGGTTTCCTTCAATTACATGGTGCATTAAAGCCTGGGTTTACAAAGCTGATTGTTAGCTGGTATAATTTGAATCAGGTTTTTGTCATGGAGTCTTTAAAATCTTGTGTTTGACATATGAGGAAATGCATTTTTCCTCCTGATCTGCTCCGATCCCCACCTCCAGCCTCGGTCGGCTCCACGGGGCCTGATAAGAGCCTCGTTCCCCAAAACGAGCTGCCATCACACCGAGATTCAGACCGTTTGACCAAAATGCCATGCAGATTAGTGAGACGAGAGCAGAAGCAGGCTGGCCTGATTAAATTGATTTATGTTTTTCTTCTCTCCCTCCATGGTTACTGTGATGCTGAGTGAGACCCAGATCCTGGGCTGTGGGGCGTCAGAGTGTGGGGGTTCTTAGTGGGCGGAGTGGTGGAGCGCAGCATGCTGCAGCCGTTTGTTACTGGGGAGAACTGCATTACCATGACCTCCAGTGTGACAGCATTTATATGGAGCACAATAATGTTCTATTTTTAATGGAGATTTGAAGCAGCTCAACGCCTGTCGGCTTCAAATGGTACATGAAGACTGGGTGTCATTTTAGAGCTCAGATTTACTATCAGTGTCTCTAATGATCCATTTCTTTTTAGGGAAGGTTGAATTAAGAGTCAAAATGCTTTAAAAATAAAGTGCAAATACTTGTTAAAGTGTCTAATTTGTTGCTGAAATGAACCTTAGAGGTGTTGGCTGGTCACATTCCTCAGTCTCTTGTTTTTGCCTTTAGGTGTCGGTTCTTTAAAATCAGGAGTGACTGCAGAGAAGGAAGCGCTGCTTCATGCAGGTGCGTCTAACTGCTGAGGCGTTGATCAGAGGGTGATGTGAACAGTTTTCCTGGCAGCTAGTCGATGGGCTGGTGCAGCAGCTCCATGGGGAGAAAACCTGAAGGAACAAAAGCTGCAGAATCCACAGTCTGACTCTGCTTTTGTTTACTGCTGTACCTCTGACATGGACTTCATTAAATATATTAACAGTTTCAAGTCTGTTTGCAGGCTTGTGAATAAAACATGCAAATTTAAAGCTCTTGTGACCTGATTTTGATATTTCAGGTCTAAACATGTGGTGGTTAAAGAGGGAAGGATTTTAAGGAGTTTATGTTGAATATTTGTCAAAGTAGGAAACTTGTGATTGGTTTGGTTTTATTAATGAAATAAGATCTCATTACAGGAAAGTGTCAACATTTCTTGGTAATTTCTGCTGAAGGTCACAAATTTGAGTCTGGAAAAGTGGAAGCTTGAAATGAGTGTTTTGAGGTTTGCCTTGCAGGATCTCAATTTGCTTAGTCAGCATTTAATGTACGTCAGCATTTAGACTCTGTGGTGAGTCACAACTTTTCCTTCAGGCAGTTGTTTGGCCAGCCTGGCTGGGCTGTAACTTTAAATAAGTTTAGAACCAAAGGCGTCGGCTGGGCGGGTTCATGACTGTAGATGTTAAAGCTACAGGAACATCAGCAGGAGGAGTTTTGATACTTTGAAGGGAAATTTTGTTTTGGTTGAGTTTCTGTTTTTGGATTCCAGTTTTCATACTTTTTATGAATTTGGAGTTGGTCACATTTGTTAAATATGGTGATAAAACCTTTACCAATTTATTAACCTTTTCCTGTTCTATTAATAATCAGGTTATCTAAAAAATAAGTGACAATTTTGAAAGTCCAACTTGCCTACACATGGTGTCCAGACTATTCAACTGCTGGGGGAAAAATAAACTAAATTTAATTTTCTAAATAAGTTTACTTCCGTTATGTTTCTTTGCCTTGTTTCCTTTTTCTGCTGCTTAAATACCAAATATATCAAATATGAACCTGAGTCCATGTTAAATGACCAGCCTGGCATTCATAATAGATCTTAAAGTTTTTATTTTTTAAGCCATGTTGTATCTTAACAGCTAAATGTTTTTCTATCTGGGTCGTGGTCCGCTCCACGCTGAGACCCAAAGCTGTTCCGGTTCCGAGCCGATCCGGGTTCCTGACCCACTTTCAGTTTTCCATCATGGCTGCGTTTCTCGTCTGCTCCTTCTGGGGTGAATGTTTGATTTAAACAGGCAGGAGCGCTCCATTTCCCCACCTGGACGGCTGCAGCGTGGCGCCAGCCTCAAGGTCGGGGTTATTTTAGGAACATGTTCCGATGTCAGCTGCAGCAAACGGGCCGCAGCGCCGACCTTCAGGCTGGAAACGCTGGTTCCATTCCTGTTGGAACAGGAAGTGACATAAAGTGCTTCTGTTTAAATTATTGAAGCTGGAGCAAACGACAGAAACGCTTTACCTCAGGATTAACCGTTCCTTCAGGACGACTCAAGTTGGATCTGATTTCAAAATAAAATGCACTAAACCATAAAAGTTAAATGTTTGGTCAATAAATGAATATTTTTCATGAGGTTTGATAATACGATTAGAACCTACTAAAGTGAATTATGTTAAAACTCCTTCTGCAGTTATGAAGTTGGGATAAATGGAGCAAAATAACTGAGACCCGTTAAGTTTCAGGAAGTTCTAACTTTCACCTCGTTTGTCTCTTCAGGTACGAAGACGGAATGTGAAGCCAACCAGTTCCAGTGTGGAAACGGCCGCTGCATCCCGTCTGTTTGGCAATGTGACAGCGATGAGGATTGCACCGACGGCAGCGACGAGAGATCCTGTGGTGAGAACGACCCGCTTTACAGAACATGAAACTGATCAGATGTCTGGATCAGTGGAGTTCATTAGTTTAGCACATTTCAGCAACAAGGCAGTTCAACGTAAAAACAGTCAACACACAGAATGGGCTTTACTTCACAAGACTTTTTCCTTCCACTCAACTTTCCACTTGAATTCAGCACTGATCAGCCCATTTCTCCTTTTTTGACTTGTTTAACATAGAAGTTTATTCACATTTAGATAAATATCAAACACGTTTATCTTGTGTGCATAAATTTGCTTTGACTAGGCCTGTAGTTCTCTCAACTGCTCTGGTTTTTCTGCAACGTTTCTGTGCGGATCAGTTTGAAGCAAATCAGAAAGATGCATGAAGTTGTGAAAGCTGCTGCATATTGATGTCAAACCGCTTCAATAAATCAGAGCTAATCTGATTCTGAACCAGGAAGGTTTGAGAACCTGAAGGAAGGAAAAGCACAGCGGAGCTAAAGCTGGATCCAGTGTGTTCAACTATCTGGGTCATTCAATAAAACACAGCAAGGAAAGAATAAGAGGAGGGGGATGGGAAGATTTAATCCTTTATGAGCAGGAAATGATGACATCATGTGATTTGAACTTTTAAATGTTTTTCAACAAAAATCAAACAAGTTTTCACAAAAGCATTAAATGTGCAGGGAAACGGGATGAGAGGGAAACGTGCTGGTTGCACATGGCAACATTGAGCCGGGAACATCTTAGACTTTAATGATAAAACATCTGGAGATTTTAAACTTTCTACTCCACATCCTGCAGGAAGTGGGATACAAATCAACCAGAATCAGATTTAATGTTTAATCTTGACTCCTTTCTTTTCTCAGCCTCAGTTAAACACCAGATGATCCAAACTAACGATGCAGGACTAGTTTCTGATTTAATAAAACCCAAACTAAACCAGATTCCACTGCAGCATCTTAATTTAAATCCTTCTGATTCTGTGTAGTTCAGAAGACGTGTGCCGATGCAGACTTCGTGTGCCGCAGCGGTCAGTGCATCCCGAAGCGCTGGCACTGCGACGGAGAGCCGGACTGCGAGGACGGATCCGATGAGAGCGTAGAAATCTGCCGTAAGTTTTCCCACAATGCAACTTGTTCAGAAGTTTGATGGTTTCAGTCGGCAGAGAAGTTTATTAAACTCTGAAGCTGTGGGGAAAGTTGATCCTGCCAGTGAAACGTATGAATTTTTTTTTTTTTTTTTAATCAGAAATAAAGGATAAGTTCTTGGTCTGTTTGGATCAGTTTCCTGCTGATCCAGTTCTGCTCTGTCATGTTTGGTGCTGCAGCTGTTTGTCCCTGTTGGCTCTGAAGGTCATGACCGGGTCATGTTCAGCCATCAGAGCTGCTGCTGCGTCCTGCTGATGTCTGACCAGCTGTCGGCTTCAGATCAGCAGCTGAAAGTGTCTGGTTTTAATTTTAACCTGCTGACTCCACATTCCTGATTCCTCTTCCTGCAACAGTTAAACGTTGCTTTATGCTCATTTCAATGAAGTTGCTTTTTTCTTGTTTTGCCCTCCAACGTTAAAAGTTTAACTTGTGCATCAAATTTAAAGCTGAACTTTCTCAGAAATGATTCTTACAAGAATGTGATGCGTTTACTGACATTTTATAATTTCCCCAGTTTATGTTCAGATCTCCTGCCTCTGGCTTCTTCTGCTGCAGATTGACTGTCGCATAAACAACGTAAAAGTTTAATAAAATGCAACATTAAGCTTTGAAAACTATTGGATATGATTAAATGGGACAATCTCCTTTAACTCCATAGATGCCTGATTTTAATTACTTCATGTAAAGAAGTATTAAAACTTTGTTTTGACCTGACTTGGTTCTGTTTCCTTATCTAGTTACTGTAACGATGCTTTTCTGAACCTGCACAGAAAAAGAACCAGAGTTTTTAGCAGCTTTCATGAAAGGAGACGAAGCGGGCCGCTCCACTGCAGGTTCTGATAACTTCCAGTTGGAGCTCGTCTTATCTATAGTTATTCCCCAAAACATTTTCATTCTTGATGCTGCATATTATCAGGAAAGTAGATGAATGGCTGATTAAAGCTGCAGTACTTTTAGCATTTCCGTAGTTCTGTGATGCTTCACATCGTATCAGACCAAATATTCTTAGTTTGTCATGTTCCTATAACGTTGTCTTGCCTTGGCGCTGTGTTTTTGTGGTCTGGTTCTGGTCACTGACCTCAGCGTGTCGTTTCTGTCTGCAGACATGAGGACGTGTCGCGTTAACGAGTTCAGCTGCGGCCCAGGAACCACGCTTTGCATCCCCATCTTCTGGAAATGTGACGGAGAGAAGGACTGCGACAAAGGAGAGGATGAAGTCAGCTGTGGTGGGTGGAAGCTGCTTTCCTCAACGCCTCAGTAATTATTTGACCTTTGAATCAGTCGTTTCCCTTTAAGCTGAACGTCTGGCAGCTGCAATCAGCAGCAACGTGTCGACTTTTAGGTGATTTATGATCCAGACGCTGCAGGAAAACCTGAAGATGAGGCATTCAGAGCAGTTCAGTGTTTTCTCCTGGGATTGAACAAAATGTCTGAAGTGCTTTAGATTCACATTCAATCAATACTTCATATTGATTGAGACACTTGTTCCTTGTAACTTCAGCTGTATTTATTTTTTAATGTTGGCTCCAGTGGCCTTTAGCAGGTGTAAGACGGAGAATCAGGCTGTGAGCGAAGGGAAGACATGAGGCATTGATTGGGACGGCATGACGCTTCACATGTCGCCAAGTCTTTAGGAGGAAATACTTCGCTAGATTGTTTTTAGTCATTAGAGCAGGGGGTGTCGAATGTCTTTGGTTTGGGACAAATCAAGGTCCTAAATGCTTTAAAGGGCTGGTTGTGCCAGAATGTGTTAAAACCTGTTAAAATACCAATAGATTCTTAAAATTAAATATTACTGAACATCTTTTCAGTCCCTCCTGGATTTTGATGCTTTTTCCCCTCCAAGTAAGGCCAAGGCAGCTACTTGGTACAAGTAGACAATTTTTTAGAAATCTACAATAAACTTTACTGGCTCAAAATTTTGAGGATTTGATTTTGTTTTCACAATAATTCTCAGTGGAGGGACTGGTTGGCAGTGAACGGATAAAAACTGCATTGACTTGATGACATAATATTTAAGCAAACTTGGTGTAAAGTCTAGATTCTAGAGGCTTTTCTTTCCATAAGCAAACAGCAGTTTTAATTTGTTCAGAGTGCATTTCCACGTCGTATAACTGACACAAACGGCGGCCATTTTGAAATGCAAAGTTTGGTCTCTTAAGCTTTGTGGGGTTGGTGTCGTTCCAGTTTCTGACTTCAGAGGTCATTCCAGTTGACCTTTGACTAGGAAGTCAGAATTTCAGTTTGGCAGACCTGTTTCTGTCTCGATGAAGGCAGATGCTTTTTCCCTGTGCTCCATGCCTGTCCTGCTTGCTCTGTTTTTGTCTTTCTATATTTTTGGAGCCTTTTTACATCATCCAAATCTACAAATTATGGATCTGGTCAACTGATCTTTCAGTGCAACTGATCAAATTTTCAAGAAGTTTGGGCCTCTTGTCCTGTGGGGACACACCTGGTGGGATTCATCCTGGATTTATTCATAACAGGATTTCTGCTGTTTGGAGCTTGCGGATTCCTGGATTATCGACCAACTTGGCCGAACTAGCGAACACTCAGACTGTTGGTGTGGACAGAGGCGAGGACTCAAACTCACTAACAGGATGGAATCGATCTTGGAGAAATTGCTAGTTTCGGCTCAGTAGAAAAACCAAACTAATTTGGATGATTGAGAACTGAAATGTATCGGAGAGACTTGAGGGAAGATTGAAATGTATAATCTTCCCAACCTAAGACACTCTATATGTGAATTGGCTTTCCCTGTGTGGCCTTGGCAGGCCACACGGGCCTCATCTCTGTGAAGATATGTAAACATCACACTCCTCCCTCCTGTTTCTGTGGAGCTGAACGCTCCTACAGACATCATTCCTCTGACACCTATCGGACTATGCCAAGGGCCACAGCCACTTTGCTCCATGGCCCTTTGACATCACCACCTTCACTCATGTCTTTGTCTGAATGTTGCCATTTGCCCTAATGTGTCCTTTCCTCTTTTTTGTTTTAGGTGAAATACCCCCTATTTAACCCAGAAAAGGATTATTTTAGTTTATTAGTAATATCAGAAATTGTGGAGTACGCACTATTTAGATCAATATTATACAACCCAGAAATGGAATCAGAATTAGAATTAGAATAACTACGAACTTGGAATCCAGAAATACTTAACAGGAACAGTCACTGCTTAGTTACTTTTATATTCCTACTTTTTAGAAACTGTGACTACTTACTTTTAACCCAGAAAAGGGTTTAGATTAGCCTCTTTAGCTTATTTTATCAAACTGTAGAGATGCAGAGACCAGAAGCCCAGAGGAAAATTCTGGATCAACATTTAGACACTTTTCAGACTCCTGTTCTCACAACCAGTGTATTCCATAAACTCCATGAAAATCTTTGTCTTGATGTGAAAGTTAGGAGTCAGTCGTTCTTGTCACATAGTGGGAAACATTCTGCTTCCAGTGGTTTGGGTTTATTTATTGAAAACTCCAAATGTCTCAGCAGACGCTCCTGGATTCCCTGGAGCTCAGCCTGATCAGCTGGTATTGATTATGGGATGCTGAGCTGCAGAAACCTGGTTGGCTCGGTTCACAACTGCAGTTTCTGCCTCAGTGGATGTGGATCAGAGTTCCTGCAGTTGGAATCAGAACCTGAAGTAAACCCTCTGACTGCTCCAGGTAACGTCACCTGCGCTCTGAACGAGTTCACCTGCGCCAGCGGCCGCTGCATCTCCAAGAACTTTGTGTGCAACGGCGAGGACGACTGCGGCGACGGCTCAGACGAGGTGGACTGCGCGCCGTCGTCCTGCGCTCCCAACGAGTTCCAGTGTGGGAACGCGTCCTGCATCCCGGCCAACTGGGTCTGTGACGACGACGTCGACTGTCAGGTGAGAGGAAACGAAGAGGAACATCAGGTCTGAGGACTGAACGGCCATTTTCTACTGGTGATGCTTTTTAGGGATTTACAGGTGGAGTTCAGGTCAGAATTAAAATACTTTAATTCTCTAAGAACTTTTGTTTCTGATGGGAATCAAGATGGTTGTGTCAAATATAAGAAATGATTTGAAACAAATTCTGCCACAGAATGGTGCTTTTTAAAATCTTAAAAATTGCATGTGGAAAATGTCTGTCCTTAATCACACATTCAATCAAACTAGAGGGATAAGAAGCTGCAAAGTCTTTTTTTAAAAAGCAATTGTTTTATACCAAATTCAATTTCCAACTTTGTTTTTCCTCTAGCAAAATTAAAAGACAAATGTATAAAATAAAGTTGCTCATTTCAATAATTACGAGTTGAGATGAACAGAAGCTGGAAAACAAGCTGATGTCTCTGGAGACCTGAAGAGGGCGTTGGTGTGAAAAATCCAGATTTGTCTAATCTGCATGTAAACAATTTGAAAAAGCTGCAAACCTAAGTTTTTACTGTGCAAAAATCAGAAAATTTAATGCACACCAACTTATCTGCAAATGTCATGTTGTGGAAAAACACAATTCAATCCAGAAAACTGCATATTATGAAAAATGTGCAACTACAACCTTCATTAATGCACATCTATACATTCAATCATAATTAGAAAAACCAAAAACTTTCTGATTGTTGCTGAAATATT